ATAAAATCTTGGGAAAATGGGAAAAAAAATTTGGGAAAATGGGAAAATAAATGGGGAAAAAAATTGGGAAAATGGGGAAAAATGGGAATAAAATCTTGGGAAAATGGGAAAAAAATTGGGAAAATGGGAAAGAAATGGGAGAAAAAAATTGGGAAAATGGGGGGGAAAATGGGAAAAACTGGGAAAAAGCTTTGGAAAACTGGGGGTGAAAATGGAGGAAAATGGGGAAAAACTTGGGGAAAATGGGAAGAAAATTGGGATAATGGGAAAAAAGTTGGGAAAATGGGGAAAAAACTTCAGGAAATTGGAAAAAAATGGGGAGAAAATGGGAAAAAAGAGGGAAAATGGGAAAAAACTTCAGGAAATTGGAAAAAAACGGGGAGAAAATGAGAAAAAAGAGGGAAAATGGGAAAAAAACTTGGGAAAACGGGGAAAAAATGGGAGGAAAACTGGAAAAATGGGGAAAATGGGGAAAAAATGGGAAAAATGGGAAGAAAACTTCGGAAAATGGGGAAAAATACGGAAAAACTTTGGAAAAGCGGAGAAAAATAGGGAAAATGGGGAAGAAAACTTTGGAAAATGGGGAAAAAATGGGAAAAATGGGAAGAAAACTTCGGAAAATGGGGAAAAATACGGAAAAACTTTGGAAAAACGGAGAAAAATAGGGAAAATGGGGAAGAAAACTTTGGAAAAATGGGAAGAAAACTGGAAAAATGGGAAAAAAATGGGAAGAAAACTTTGGAAAATGGGGAAAAACTGGAAAAATGGGAAAAAAATTGGAAAATTGGGAGGAAAACTTTGGAAAATGGGGAAAAAATGGGAAGAAAACTGGAAAAATGGGGGAAAAATGGGAAAAATGGGAAGAAAACTGGAAAAATGGGGGAAAAATGGGAAAAATGGGAAGAAAACTGGAAAATGGGGAAAAAATGGGGACAAACTTTGGAAAAATGGAGAAAAATAGGAAAAATGGGAAGAAAACTTTGGAAAAATGGGAAAAAATGGGAAGAAAACTGGAAAAATAGGAAAAATGGGGGAAAAATGGGAAAAATGGGAAGAAAACTTTGGAAAAATGGGAAAAATCGGAAGAAAACTGGAAAATGGGGAAAAATGGGGAAAAACTTTGGAAAAACGGAGAAAAATAGAGAAAATGGGAAGAAAACTTTGGAAAAATGGGAAAAAATGGGAAGAAAACTGAAAAAATGGGAAAAACGGGAAGAAAACTGGAAAATGGGGAGAAAATGGGGAAAAACTTGGAAAAAATGGAGAAAAATAGGAAAAATGGGAAGAAAACTTTGGAAAAATGGGAAAAAATGGGAAGAAAACTGAAAAAATGGGAAAAACGGGAAGAAAACTGGAAAATGGGGAGAAAATGGGGAAAAACTTGGGAAAAATGGAGAAAAATAGGAAAAATGGGAAGAAAACTTGGAAAAATGGGGAAAAATGGGAAAAATGGGAAGAAAACTTTGGAAAATGGGGAAAAAATGGGAAAAATGGGAAGAAAACTGGAAAAATGGGAAAAATGGGAAGAAAACTGGAAAAAATGGGGAAAAAATGGGAAAAATGGGAAGAAAACTTTGGAAAATGGGGAAAAAATGGGAAAAATGGGAAGAAAACTGGAAAAATGGGAAAAAATGGGAAAAATGGGAAGAAAACTTTGGAAAAATGGGAAAAAATGGGAAAAATGGAAAGAAATGGGAAAAATGGGAAGAAAACTTTGGAAAATGGGGAAAAAATGGGAAGAAAACTGGAAAAATGGGGAAAAAATGGGAAGAAAACTTTGGAAAAATGGGAAAAATGGGAAGAAAACTGGAAAAATGGGAAAAAATGGGAAAAATGGGAAGAAAACTGGAAAATGGGGAAAAAATGGGGACAAACTTTGGAAAAATGGAGAAAAATAGGAAAAATGGGAAGAAAACTTTGGAAAAATGGGAAAAAATGGGAAGAAAACTGGAAAAATAGGAAAAATGGGGGAAAAATGGGAAAAATGGGAAGAAAACTTTGGAAAAATGGGAAAAATGGGAAAAAATGGGAAAAATGGGAAGAAAACTTTGGAAAATGGGGAAAAAATGGGAAGAAAACTGGAAAAATGGGGAAAACGGGAAGAAAATGGGGAAAATGGGAAGAAAACTTTGGAAAAATGGGAAGAAAACTGGAAAATGGGGAAAAAATGGGGAAAAACTTTGGAAAAAGAGAGAAAAATAGGGAAAATGGGAAGAAAACTTTGGAAAAATGGGAAAAAATGGGAAAAAATAGGAAAAATGGGAAGAAAACTTGGAAAAATGGGGAAAAATGGGAAGAAAACTGAAAAAATGGGAAAAATGGGAAGAAAACTTTGGAAAATGGGAAAAAAATGGGAAAAATGGGAAGAAAACCGGAAAAAATGGGGAAAAAACGGGGAAAAACTTTGGAAAAATGGAGAAAAATAGGAAAAATGGGAAGAAAACTTTGGAAAAATGGGAAAAAATGGGAAGAAAACTGAAAAAATGGGAAAAACGGGAAGAAAACTGGAAAATGGGGAAAAAATGGGGAAAAACTTGGAAAAATGGGAAGAAAACTTTGAAAAATGGGGGAAAACTTTGGAAAAATGGAGGAAAATGGGAATAAAATGGGAAAAGGATGGGAAAAGGATGGGAAAAGTGGGAACTGGGGAAGCAGGAAGTGCTGGTTGTTCCCGGTAGGAAAAGCCGCGGCCGAAGATTCCCGGGATTCCGCTGAGGCCGGCTCGGAAATTCGGGAATCGGAGCTTTCCCAAAGGAAACGTTCCCCGGAGCGGGAAGGGAGCGGAGAGGACGGAAAAGGGACGGAGCCGAGGGAAGAGGGAGCTCCTGGGTCAGGTAATTCCAGGGAATTCGTGGAATTCCGGGTGGGAATGGAAATGTGGGAATGGCGGAGGGGTTGGGGGAAAAAATTTGGGAAAAAAACGTTGGGATGGGAGGGAAATGGGGGGAAAAACTGGGAAATTTGGGGGATGGAAAAGTTGGGAAAATGGGATAAAAATCCTTGGGAAATGGGAAAAAAAAACTGGGAAAATAGGGGGGAGAATTTGGGAAAAGGGGAAAAAAATTTGGGAAAAATGGAGAAAAAAATGGGAAAATGGGGGAAAAACTTGGGAAAAAATTTGGGAAAAAAATGGGAAAAGAAAACCCAGGGAAATTGGGGGGAAAAAATTGGGAGAAGGGAATGAAAAAGTTGGGAAAAGGGGAAAAAATTGGGGAAAAATTTGGGAAAATGGGAGAAAAATGGGGAAAAAATGGAGGAAAAAATTTGGGAAAAGGGGAAAAAAAACTTGGGAAAAATGGGGGAAAATTTGGGAAAATGGTGAGGAAGGAATTGGGAAGATGGGGGGGGAATGGGGGAAAAAAATGGGAAAATGGGGGAAAAAAATTGGGAAAATGGGAAAAAAAATTGGGAAAATTGGGAAAGAAAATAGGGAAAAAAATTGGGAAAATTGGGAAAAAAATGGGAAAAAAAAAGGGAAAAAATCTTGGGAAAATGGGAAATAAATGGAAAAACAAAACCCAGGAAAATTGGGGGAAAATTTGGGAAAAGGGAATGAAAAATTTGGGAAAATGGGGGGGAAAAAGGGAAAAAATAATGAAAAAAAACTTGGGAAAAAGTTAGGAAAAGGAAAACGGAAAAAAAACGGGAAAATGAGGAAAAAATTGGGAAAACTGGGATAAAAAACTTGGGAAAAAATTGGGAAAATAGGAGGGAAAAAACCTGGAAAAGTGGGAATAAAAAACTTGGGAAAATGGGGGGAAAAATTGGGAAAATGGGGGAAAAATTGGGAAAATGAGGGAAAAATTGGGAAAATGAGGGGAAAAAAATGGGAAAAAGTCCTTGGAAAAATCGGGAATAAAAGGGAATTGGGGAATTGGCGCAATTCCTGCGGAATTCCGGGAATTCCTGAGGGTTGAGCTCCTCCTTATCCCGATTTTCAGAGGCTGCGGCGAGCGAGGAATCCGCGGATCCCGGCGGGAAGGTCAGCGGGAATTCCGGGGATTTGGGAATTCTGGGAATCGTGAGGAGTTGGGAATTGTGGGATTGTTGGGAATTGGGGAATTGTGGGAATTCTGGGAATGCTGGGAATTGTGGGAATGCTGGGAATTGGGGAATTCTGGGAATTGTGGGAATGCTGGGAATTGTGGGAATTGTGGGAATTCTGGGAATTGGGGAATTCTGGGAATTGTGGGAATGCTGGGAATTCTGGAATTGCGATAATTGGGGAAATTGGGGAATTCTGGGAATTGTGGAAGTGTTGGGAATTTTGGGACTTATGGAAATATTGGGAATGCTGGGAATTGTGGGAATGTTGGGAATTTGGGGAATTGCGGGAACGTTTGGAAATCCCCAATAATTCCCCGGGAATCCCGGAATTCCCGCGGATCCCATCCCAAGGCCGGAATTCCCGCCA